ACTCTGACCCTCAGATTCCACATCCTCCGTCTCTGCTCCGCCCACCTCGCGCCACTCACGTACGTTGCTTCGGGCCGATAGAAGGCAGCCAGGTCAAGATCCGTAATTGCAATTGCAATCGCGCCAAACAGGAAAACTAATGTAGACAACATCTGGTTTGTCAAATTTAAATATGGTGACAACAGATCTGAGACTGTTTAATGTTTTAAAATATTTATTTTATACAGAGAGGTTTAAAGTTTAATAAAATCCAGTCACAGCAGCTTCTAGCATCTGATGACTTCAAAACAAACTTCTTATCTCAGGCATGGGTGAAGAGATGAACAAACCAAGAGAACAAACCAATGTTGTATGATCCTGATTATCCCGATTACAAAGATCCACAGCAAAAAGAAAATGTTTAGGCAGAAACTTGGGATTGATGCTGAGTTTTAATGATGTCATATTAAATTAATTGTTCATCACATCATGTTTTTGTCCTATAAATTAAATGATAATCTAGCATTATTATCTCCTGGAGTTCCAGGGAAGTCAGAGCAGAACAAGACATAAACGTCCGACAGACATTTTTATTTAACCTCGTCTAGTCAATGAAAACTCACACCCATGACTTGTCATGTTTTCATCATCAAAGATCCACATTAAGCTTGTCAGTTCTTGTCATAAAAAAGTAGCGTCAACAAAATAATCTCATCAACATTGTCAAAGACAACACTTGTTTTAACGGTTCTATACTTTTAACAGTTTAGAACTGTTCTCATTAACCCTGAGGGCATGGCATAGGGTCAGCCTGGCCTAGCGTTAACCTGGGGGCATGGCATAGGGTCAGCCTGGGGGCCTGGCATACCGTCAGCCTGGCAGACCGTCAGCCTGGCATAGGGCCAGCCTGGGGGCCTGGCATAGGTTCAGCTTGGGTCAGCTTGGCATTAGGTCAGCCTAGCATAGGATTAGCTTGGCATAGGGTCAGCCTGACATTGGGTCAGCCTAGCCTCTGGGCCTGGCATAGGGTCAGCCTGGCATGGGTCAACCTAACATAGGGTCAGCCTGAGGGCCTGGCATTGGGTCAACCTGGCACAGGGTCAGCCTGCCATAGGGTCAGCCTGGGGGCCTGGCATTGGGTCAACCTGGCATAGGGTCAGCCTGCCATAGGGTCAGCCTGGGGGCCTGGCATAGGGTCAGTCTGGCATAGGGTCAGCCTGCCATAGGGTCAGCCTGGCGCCTTGGCATAGCGTCAGCCTGGGGGCCTGGCATAGGGTCAGTCTGTTATAGGATAAGCTTGGGTTCCTGGGATAGGGTCAGCCTGGCATAGAGTCAGTCTTAGAGGTCAGTAGTCTGTGAAATGGTGCACTAATGAACTTTCTGGTCTGCAGGTTTCATCCTTAAAGAGTCGTCTAAAGAAGGTTTCAACGACAACAGGTGACGGTGTGGCTCGAGCCTTCCTGAAGAGTCAGGCGTCTCTGTTTGGCAGCTACAGGAACGCCCTGCAGATCGAAGTGGTCAGTTTGTTATGGAGCTTCAACATTAATGTTACAGCTTGCAGTCAAACTAGCTCGTCGTCTTTCAGCACTTCTTCTTCCGGCCCAGACAACAAATGTTTTGTGATCACAGAGTAAATTTGATTGCTGTGATTTTCTACATAAATTAAAAGGGATCAGAATTGTAATTTCCCATGGGCTGGCGTTGCCTTTTTCTTTAGACATCAGCTTGGCAAACCAAGTTTAAGTCTGAGCTGCTTTTTAGGGGGAGCCAATCACGTTCAGTGAGGAGACGTTCATCAGCCATCGATCCAGTGCCATGAGACAGTTTCTCCAGAATGCCATCCAGCTGCAGCTGTTCAAACAGGTACGCACCAGTAGCTCCAGCTGCTCCAGTGAACCGGGCGCACAGGCTGACGCCATCTTTCTGTTTCTGATGCAGTTTATTGATGGCCGCTTGGACCTGCTCAACTCAGGGGAGGGTTTCAATGACATCTTTGAGGAGGAGATTAACATGGGGGAGTACGCAGGTGAGCCACCAGTGGAGCCTAACAGAGCTGGGCTTTACTCACTGTTTCCTCCGCCACTATGGGAGGGGGGGGTGGGTGACCAATCAGTACCTGGGGTGGATATTAGCGGTGGCTGAGACACGCTGATTCAGATTATCCCAAACACGTCCACCATGACAGAAATGGA